AGCGGACCGGCGGCAGGCAGGCGAAGGGGCGCCGACGGGGGGGGCGGCGAAGCCAAGAGGCGGCACAGGGGAGGTGGGCGGGCGGGCGAGGCTGAGGAAGACGTGGCGGTCAGGGTAAGGACGAAGGGAGAAGAATCGGACGCGGCCTGACCGACCCCTTCCGTGACGAGCACCTGCCGTGACGTCCCCCACGCCCTCCAGGCCTTCCTCCGGCCACTTGCGGAGGTCTCTGGGCGGGGCGAGGGGGACGGAAAGAGGACGAGAGGGCACGGGGCTGAGGAGTACGAGAAGGACGAGGGATGAGGACAGGATTGAAGTGTAGTGCTGACGCCCTGAAGGGTAGGAATAACCCTTGTGAATCGGATGGGGCACTTGGGCTCTCCCACCCCTTGAAATAGGTGCTCGATGTTGTCACCTGGTAATTGTGGGTGATGTGCGTGTAGCGCATATCCTGTTGCAACCATCTCTGCCTCGTAGCACCGTGACCGGGGGGGTCATCGCATGTGGGTCAGACGCCCCCCATCATGAAGGGACGACGAATGATGGACCCAAGCATGATGTGTGACAGCAGTGTGTAAATGTGAGCCCCATGATGTTGTAGCAACATTGGTGCCGACAGAATGCATCAAACCGAATTCAAGCCCCAATTTGCGTTCCCAAAGGGGGCACGGTTTGTCCGCCCCACGGGGGGTGCAAACATAGCTCGGTCTTCAAGTGACTGGAAAACGTTTCCCTCACTTCGGTCCTCATGGGATACCTGCGGAGCTTGTGCAAAATATGTCCGAGACATAGGTGGCCGCCACCCAGAAGGAGGAGGCGGAGGAGGAGGAGGCCTGCCCCCCCCTCCACCCGCCAATTCTCGTCGACGGCGAAGACGCTGAACAAAGGACCACTTTGGGCTCACGAGGGGCTCCGGGTTCCGGTCCGGGCCGTTTCTTAGATCTAGCTCTGGCTTTCGGGTCATACCTCTGCTGTTCGGCGGCCGATCGGGACGATCCAGGCACCCCTGGAACGCCCTCGGCGAGGCACAGCTGCTGGCCCCGGATCCCCCCTGACGTTGCCTCCGAGGCGCTTTCCATCGAAGAAGGGGGGCCGGGGCTCCCAGCGCAGGGGCCATCGTGGAAAGAGCCCCCCCTCCCTCCAATATCGGGCGCGTCCAAGACGGGGGCGTCCAAGAGGAGAGTTCGCAACTCATTGCCCGAGGAATGTGCGCGGACAGGGGGGGAACCCGAGGACATGTGGAAGCAAGAATGGGCGCCATAGAAGCCGCGGAGATATCACAACCCCGCCCATGATTCCCCCTCCCCCTCCAGTGGCAACTCATGGGAGCCTCCCATGCCGTCTTGCTGGCTCGTGTGAATCAACGCTGACCGACGCTAGCCGACGCTCATCCACGCTAGTTCACGCTCATCGACGCTAAATCGAATCTAATCGATGTTAAATCGGAGCTTTCCCATCGACTACCAGATGCTAATCAGCGCAGGCTAGTGCACTCTGAATACGGGATTGAGAGGACGCGCAAGGGTCCCACGACCTGCCACCGACCCCCCTAGTCATCACCCCCCTCTTGGCCGCCCCCGAAAGAGGAGCCCCTATCGGGCCTGTCCTGGGCGGGAAACGCCGGACCAAGGGAGGGGAAGGCGCACCGCCGCCGCCCCCCGCTGGCGGCCACCTTCTGGCCGTGCGGCCCTTTCTGGAGCAAACACAGCAGAAAGCTGGGGGAAAGAACGGAGCTTCAGATTCCGCAGGAAAGCGTGGATGTGGGCGGGGCTGGACAACAACTGACTGGGGCTGGAGCGAACCCCAAGAGGATTGGGATGCAAGGGCTGGGACAGGAACATCAGGAGGAAACTGGCCCTGGATCAAAAAACGTACGGGCCGTCCCCAGAAACACACGTCAGACGGAAGAAGTGGGTAGAAACGGCAGCTAAGAAGGCGTTGAAAGTACATTGGGTTTGCGCCCGCCCCCCGAAGCGAAGGGAAGAGGGAGCACCGATCGACACTCGAAATAGGAAGGCACCTAAAGTCAATTGGGATATGATAGTAAAAGGAAACCGATTCAAATGCGGATAGGTACTTCTTCAACCGCAAGCTAGGCCTTGCCAGCCAGCCTTGAGCCACTCAAACATTTCCCCTCCAATCCTCTCTTGGAGAGGCGGAGCCGTCGGCGGCGAAGAGGGCCCCCCAGCAGGCCCCCAGGGACGAGCAAGTAAACACAAGCAACTTGTTCTGGATCCACCGTGAACTCAGCAGCCCCAAAACACTGACATCCGATCTCGTGAGTTGGCCCCTTTTCGGAAACATGTCTGTTCAATCCGGAACATGCTTCGATGATCCCAGAGGATGACAGCAGCCCGCCAACACCGAATCTCTCCTTGTCTCTCTCTCTCTCTCTCTTATTCTCGTTGTCTCTTCCTATCTCTCTCTCTCTCTCTCTACTTATAGAAATGCATTTGCACAGAGTTGCTCGAACGTCGCAATGCAGCACGCGCGGATTCGGACGTATACAACGCAGCGGTGGCTACGAGGGAGGGCCGCTTCACCGCAAAGCCGTCTCGCCTCGTGCCGCCTCTTTTTTTGCACGAGCGTGGCAATGGCCGACGGGCTGGGCAGCAGTTCGCTCAGCCCGGTTTTTCGCGCCCAGCTCGGCACAGACATTGCTGCTGAGACTCGGGTGCTTCGCATATCCCTGCAGTGTGGCGCGCCAACACTTCGTCCACATTCTATCGGACAAGTGGGCGACGAGACCGAGGCGAGCGCCGAAGGTCGTGCCACGCACCGCGCACGTAGCCGACGATGGTGCGAAGAAACGCGGCTCGCATCGCACGCCGCGCTCGATGCGTCAACGTTGGAGCGCGTTTCTTTATGTTCGGCGATGACGGGCGTCATGGGGGAGGGGGGGAGGGCAGGGGGGGGTATGACGTGACGCCCCCCCCCCGCCGTGTGGCTCCGGCACCACAGCCGCGCCCGCGCGCACGACGCGACGAGCGACGAACGACGAGCGACCCATTGCGCCTGTGTACACTGCCCATTGCGCCTGTGTGCACCACAACGCTCGCGTGCACCACACCGCGCGTGTGCACCACAACGCCTGCGTACACCGCAACAGCCGTGTGCAACGCACCGCCCGTGGAAACCACAATACTTGGGAGCACTACAGCGCTGGTGTACATACACCGCAGCAGCCATTTGCAACACAACGCCTGTGTACACAACAGTGCTTGCGTGCACCGCAGCGCCTGTGCACGCCACAGCGCCTGTCTACACCACAGCATCCGCGTGCAACGCAGCGCTGGTGTACACCACAGCGCCTGCGTGCATAGGACAGGTCGATGGAGCATGTACGTCAGGATCTGCTGCGGACAACTAAACGCCACGCCAGGAAAGTTCAGATAATCGAATGCGACGTTTTTCCCTCCTCCCTCCTCCACCTCCTCCTCTCCTGTTCCTCCTCCTCCTCCTCCTCTTCCTCCTCCTCCTCCTTCTCTTCCTTTTCATCCTTCTTACCCCCTGTCGTGCGGCTTGGCGTTGCAACGCACGTGCGCGTCTCAGCGTGCACCGCAGAATGGTCGATTGAATCGGTCCACTTGGTTCTCCGACGGCCAGTTTAGCTGGAGCCTCCTGGACGCAACTGGGAGTTAGGGTGATGCGGGCGGACTCGGGGGGACTCGTAGATCCCAGCGGCGCCTCCAAGAGGATTTGTTGTCCATTGTTTTCTCTGGAATCCACACGCGGTCCATTTTGTCATAAGGAATCCTTCTGAAATTCTATACACATAAATGGTGCTGTGTTGCACACGGCTGATGCGTTGCACACAGGCGCCGTGGCGTACACAGGCACTGCAATGCACGCAGGCATTGTGGTGTGTTGCGCACGGCTGATATGGTGTACGGAGGCGCTGTGGTGTACACAGGAGCTGCTGTGCCCGCAGGCACGGTGGCACAAACTGACGCTGTGTTGCACGCGGCTGCTGTGGTGTACATCGGCGGCGTGGTGTACACAGGCACTGTGGTGCACGCGGGCAGTGTGATGTACACAGGCGTTGTGGTGCATATCGCCACCTACATGTTCGTGCTACCCGTCCTCCGTCATTCCTAAGCATTCCCAGGAGCCGCCGGCGCGAAACGTGACGTCATCGACCCCCTCCCCCCCAGATGATTGCCGTCATCGGCCTGGACTTACAAACAGGCTCCGGCCGCGTCCGCGCGCACGACGACGATGAGCGACGAGCGACGAACCACGAGCGACGACGACGGACGACGACGAAGACGACGACGACGACGCCTGCGGACCAGACACCTATGCGGACTCCTACGCGGACACCTACGCGGATCCCAATGCGCACGGCGGCAGTGCCCGGAGCGCACTGGGGGGGGAGCGTTACGTCATAGGGGGGGGGGAGCGGGGGCCATGACGCCCGTCATGCCCAAAGCAATAAAGAAACGGGTTCTTGGGCCAACTGGCGTTCCGAGGCAAACGCCGCCGAGCAATCCGACCAGGCGAACGGTCTACAGATGGTATCCACGCGCTGGTGTAGAGCTTCGGCACACATCGAACCCTCATAATGGAGGAGGTATTCAGCTTGCTTCCATATGAGCGGCTCGTCACACATGAGCTGGCGACACGGTTCTGGATCCTTTGCGGGATCGGGCTGATTAGAACACAAGGCGACGCTCTGGTGGAGTCGCCTTTGTTCCTGGATCACCAGCCGGAACCGCGCGAAAAACTGGGGCGCGCCGTTGCGCCCTGGCATCTGCCAGAATACAGCTGACAGCGACGGAAGGCGAGCGCGGACAAGGCGGCTTAAGTAGGCAAATCTGGCATGCGTCAGCACGCAATCGATGGAAAGGATGCGGTGCACACTGCGGAAGCCGGGGTCACTCCCGGCGCCCGGCCCGAAACGAGGGGCTCCGAGCATCCTGCAGTAGCCTCGAATATATATATATATATATATATATATATATATATGTATATATACACATATATGTATATATATATATACACACATCGTTGAGGAGAGAAAGAAATAGAACAACGGGTGCAAATCTGCGCAAATGAACAACTATTTGGACATCAGAAGGGTCGCGAACATCCAACGTTCCAAGCTGCAATCGACCAGCTGGGGCCAAAAATAAAATATCGCATGCGGCGCGCGCGCTGCCGGGGCCTTCTCGCGGCGACCCTGCGAAAGGGAATCAACGAACCCGACAGCGCAAGCTCGCAACCTAGATGCTTATAGAAAGGGCAACGTGCAAAACGTCATCGGCGCTGGGAAGCTGGATGCTCAGAGGCCCCCCTGGCGCTCGCCGCCTGGCCCGGGTGCGCTTCGCAGCCCCATGCCCCCTGCACTTCAAAAAACGCTTCGGTTTTCCCTTGCTGCCAATTTATTGCTGTTCAGCACACGGTAGCAGGCGACTAACAAAACCCCCAAACACATCGACACAGCCAACAGCATTTCAATCGCGTCGTCGACCACATCCTGCGCGGGCGCGCCATCTGCAGGCCTGGGCTCGGCCCGCGCAAACGCACTATCTTACGGGAAGTGGAGGGCAAATCCGGCTTCAACGACGAGGTCGCGAATCATCTGGAGAGCAACGCTGAAGATCAAATTGAAGAGACAGGCGCCGTACTTACAGCCCCGCCTGCCTGCCCACTCGCACCGCGATGGCCGCTCCCAAGCCGCCCACGCTACAGCGGGACTGCGCGCGCATATTTTTTTGAGCGCGGATCGCTGTCGGCGCGACCCCCCGCTTCCCGAGGAGCGGGCCGCGCGCGGACACGAACGCTGCAATCCACTGCGCCCGGTCGCGGCTCAAGCCGAGGCCCATGAAATGGGCCTCCCAGTCGGACGCGCCGGCCGGCCATCCAATCTCGAGGATGATGCGGTCGAAGGCTTTCGCGAGATCGAGGGGCGCGATAAACGCGCGCGTGGAGGTCTGACCAGCATGGGCCAAGATCTCGACGACCACATGCGACGCGAAATCAATGCTTCGGCCGGCCTCGGCCCCGCGTTGAGCGCCAGACTGGTAAGCCGCGTGCTGGGGGAAAACACGCCGCGATAGATGTTGATTCAAGCCTTCGCCAAGGTGATGTTCTGTGATAGTGCCCCAGTAGTCGTCGCAGTTGGCGCGGCCGGGCCTGCCGCCAGTCCGCGCCGCCGGCCAGACTTCGGCCCAAAGCGCTTCATTGCGCGGCCATGTCGCGACCGGGGCCGCAGAGGCAGCGGTCGCTTGCTAGAATTCGGCGGGCAGACCGTCGCGCCCCGCGCCTCTGTTTGCGCCGAGCAGGCGCCGCGTGCCGCGCGCGTCACCCGCAGTAGTGGATACGTCGCCCGGGAGCGGCGCGCCGTGCGGAAGCGCCCGGAGGTCTGCAGCGGTGACGCGGGCGCCTTTGATGACGTCCTGGAAGTGCTCGAGCCATCGCATCTGCCTTTCCTCCTCGCCGTGGAAACGGCTTTCCTGTCGAGGGCGGGGGGGGGGCGCCGCGGCCGTGGACTTGCCGCTGAAGGACCTCCAAATGCCGAAACGACCCCTCCAATCGCGCACGCGGGCGCATCGCTGAGCCTCGGCGGCGCGCCCCTCGCTCGAAAGTCGACCAGGTGGCGGCGGATGGCGAAGCCGAGCTGCGTGCCAAGTCTCTGCGTGACGGCCCTGACTTTGTTCCAGCTTCAGCAGCGTCTCCGAGCGCGGCGCGGGACGCCGACCGCCCCCCGCCCGAGATCTGGGGCAGGGGCGCCAAGTTGGAGGCGGGCGCCGGCAGAGGCCCCTTCCACGCGTGCCGCGCCTGAGCGAGGCGAGCGCAATTGCGACGCCGCGCCGCGAGAAAGCCGACAGAGCGGCAAAACTACAGCGCTTCGATCGTTCCCCAGGTCGGGCCGCGAAGTCTCCCGAGGACAGTCTCGCGCGGGGCCCGAGCCTCGACGGGCGGCCCGCCGCGCGGCCTCGACGAAGCGTTCAACCTTCTCATCGATGGTGGTCTGTAGCGGGGGCCGGCGCCAGCGAAGCGCGAAGCTGCTCGCAGACAGACGCGACGCGGCCGGCGTCGGGAAGTCCCCACTCGTTCAAGCGGAAATCTTTGCACCCCGCAGGCTGTCGCTGCAATTTTTCCAACGCGCGGGCGGCAACTGCGCAGCGATGGCCCTCGCGGGCGGCGAGGGGGGCGCCGCGATTATCCGGGGGCGCGCAGGCTCGCACTTCGCGCGGAGGTCGGGCGGCATCGGCGCATGCGCACCCAATGCGACGAAGTCTTGCCGCGCCCAGACCTCCGCGCACATCCGCGCGGATGGAAGCCATTGTCAGCGCGGAACCCGCAATGGTCCAGGAAGGCGTGCATCGCCGCGCCCCTGTCGCGCTCAGCGCCAGCGCCGTGGGCGCCGGTGTGCGGGGGCGCCTCGGGGCAACGAGCGTAAGCATCCAGCGGCGCGAAACTCTGCACCTGGCGGTGCTCGGCTGTTTGCACGTCGACCTTCTGGGGCACCAGGTCCCAGAGGCCGTCGCGCTTCGCGGCGGGACAGGAGCTGCGCGGGGCGCGCCCCGCCACGACGAGGGCGCGGCCAGCGCGAGGATGAGACGCAACAAGCCAGCATAATAACCTCGGGGACAACAGCTCGCGAGCCTGGAGCTTGAATTTGGCCACCTTGCGGAGCCAGATCTCGCGTCAATAGTCGGCGTCATCGTCGGCGGCGCCAATCTTGGGCGCCGCTGCCAATCTCTCCGCGGCAGGCGCGGCCCTCCTGAATGCTGTCGACGTCGATTCCTGCGCTCTCCAACTGCCTTTCAAGAACAGAAACCTTGCCCGAGAGAGAGACGCCCGCCACCTGGGCGATGGCAGCGTCGACCCCCGAAGGCCGCAGCGCCTGGGCGTCGCCCGTTCAACGACCAGGGTGTCGGAGCCAAGTGCGCCCACTACAGTTGCCTGGCTACGACCAGCGTTCGCGCCATCGCCACTTTGCCGCGCAACTTTCCCCGGCGCCGCCGAAGGGCTTGGCGCGCACGGCGCAGGAGAAAAAGTGGAAGAGGAAGAGGAGGATTGGGGGCTCAGCGGGCCTCCTTCCCGTGGACAGGCCCACCCAAAGCTGCGCCTGGGGCGCAGCTGCGCCGAACACACAGCTGCAGCTGCATGGTCATGAACTCGTTCGGGCACCGATCCACGCTCGGAGCTCGAGAAGGGCGCGCACGTGGATGCACTGCACTCGCCCCGCGGCCAGGCCCCTCGCAGTCGCCCCCTGTCGGAAGGGCTGCGAGTCGGTTTTGCTGATGGACCTCTCGGCCCCCGCCTTGAATAGGACGGGGGGCGTTTGGTCTTGGCGACCTGCTTGCCGGCGGTCCGCAAGAACACCGCTGCCGCAGGGAAGCCGAGGGGCTGCTTTCCGCACCGCAGCGCGGCGGGGGCGCCCCTCTCTGCGTCTGCAGCGAGCGCGTCCGCGCGCTGCCTGTGCTTGCTTGCCTCGGCCAGCGTCGCCGCGAAACCGTCGACCAGCCTGTTGCAGCGGTCGGTCGCCGACTTGATGCGGGCAGGATCCGCGCGCGCGCCTTGTCTGAGCTTGCCGATCATGCCCGCCACCAGCTTCCGCACCTGCTGCGGTCTCGGCGCACGGGGGCGCCGCGAAGCCGGCCTCCAGCTCGCGCGCCTCGGAGGTATGCTTCGCGATCTCCGCGTCGGCCGCGGCTTTCAGTGCCACGGCGGCTTCGATAGCGGCTGGCGCGCCCCGCTGCTGGCCTCGGGCGCGCAGTAGGGCCGCCCGGGCCTGGTCGAGGCGAGCGCCAACATGTTTGCCCGCAGTCAGCTCTTTCTTATTGTCCTGGATGCGAACCTCGATGGTGGCTCTGAACTCGCCCTCGGATTCGGGGACCGATGCCAAGGTGGCCTCGAGCTGTTTGGCCCCCCGCAGCTCCTTGACGTCGCCAGGCGGCGGCGCGCTCGTCGCAGGGGGAGGGGGATTGGCAACCTCCTTCTGAGCGTCGGCCAGGTTGTTGGTGATGGCCGCGAGCTGGTCCCGCGTGGACTGCCCAGCCGACGGGGGGGAGTCGTCGTCGTAGTCACCACTGACTGGGAACGATCTCCCCCCTTGCACATGCGCAGCATCCTGGGCCACCCCGCTACGCGCGCGCTCGACTCCGCAAATCGCAATTTCTTGGAGGCGTTCCAGGCCCGGCACACCCGACACTGCCACTCCTTGCCACGCGGCGCGAAGCCCCAGCTCCAGCCGCCACCGTGCGCCGATGACCACGATCGTGACCCGGATTGCCCCTGCTGCTACTCTGCGCGCGCGGGCATGAGGCCACCGGGGCACGTGGGCGAGTCGGGCCAGGAGTATTACTCAGAACCCGGGTAGGCTTACACGTGGTTCAAATTGCTTGAGCCAAATCCGCTGGCCCCCTTGCGGGGCCACCAGGCTGCGAGGCTGAGGGTTGCAGCGCCCTGCGCCAGTTTCAGTTTCCAGCGCCGTGCACCGATTCCAGCTTCCAGGCTTCAGCGTTGCAATCTTGGTTCCTGCATCCTACCGAAAATTGCTACTGTCCGCAAGGGGGGGGGGCCTCCCCCAGGAGGGTTCTCAGAATTTGTTTGGGGCCCTGGGTCGTATAAATATACATGAGGCTCGCGCAACCGAGGCCGCGATCCCTCGCAAATTACGCTACGTTCGCGCTCCCGGTGTAAATTGCAAATATTTGCATCTCCGAGGACATAAACCCTAGTGAAGTATACAATACTCGCGTTTAGTCAATCGTCGCGCTCCCGAAACCAGACACTTTGGCGACTTCCACAATAAACGCGCCCATAAGAGGCCATAATCATGCATGCATCACGCAATGCCCGCGCCCCCCGAGGCCGTAAACCCGCGCGAATTACGGCGCCCCTGGAATTCTAAATCCTCGAAAAAATTACACCGTGTTCGTGGCCCCGGGGCAATGGGCCCTTAAGAATTATGCAGCGCTTGCGTCCCCGAAACCATGACCCACCGTAACATATGCAATGATCGCGCTCCCGAAATTAGATAACACGTGTAGGTCAGACAAGATTCGCGCCCCCCAGGCACATAAACCCTCGTACATTACACCGTAGTCGCGTCTGCGAGGCCACTGACCGTTGCGAATTATACTATACTTGCGTCCCCGAGGTCATATGCCCTTTTCTGTGGCTTCCACAAGACTCGCGCCCCCGAGGCAAGGATCCCTTGCAAATTACAGCGCGCTCGCGCCCCCGAAGCCTCAGCCCCTTGCAACCGACGCCGAGGAACCCCAGCCGCGCGATGCTGCGCACTCTAGCCTCAAGCAGCCCAACATTTCCAAGAGGGTCTCCAATGCACAGCATGCGGGGGCAAGTCGAACATGAAACACCGAATTCAACAATAGCAGCTGAATCTGCATCTTTACCGATGACTCATCGTCCTCGCATGAGGCTCCAACGCTGCTGTGATCAGACTCTCGAGCTCCGAGGGCATAGCATCCATCAAAGATGATCTGGCGAGATCGCGAGCAGCCTTTTCAGCGCATCGAACTGCGCTCCAGAAAGGGGGCCGCCAGGCCCCCTTCCCCTGAACCAAAACGGTTGCAGGAAAAAGGGTCTACAGGTTCTGGGCTAAGCTCCAAAAGGCCTCTGGAGCTTCTGAGGGCCTCGAAACGCCTCTAGATTCACACTGGCGGTAGTCTACTGCTCAGAACCTGCCTTTCTTGTTGAACTTCGGTGGGCTTCTCCCGCCATGCATCGGGTCCCCCTTCGGGTCGCTCTGGGTGTCCTTGAGAGCGTTGCTGATGGGGTTGCTGGTCTCCTGCGCCTCGCGAATCCACCGATCGGCCTGAGGCTCGACGTGATGGGCATCAAACTCGTAACCCTGAGGTCTAGGCCAGAGAAACAGCATGTTGCGTGACACGAGTACCTCGCCTGATTCTTCATATTCTTCAGGCTGCGCTCCAACTCCCTGCGCCTGGGTGCGACGCCGTCAGGCGCGCGATGGCCTGCTCCCCGAGCTCCAGCGCATATCGTAGTAGAGTGATCTCGCAATTCCGCTTGGTTAGTGGGTCCGCGAGCTGGCTCGTACCCTCGAACCGCCGAAGATGAAATTCAGGTTGTTGCATAGCAACTCGAACTATGGCAACGTCGATCAGCGCTCGCTTGTCCTCGGCAAGTCCAGCCTTGGGGTTGGTAACGTGGTCGTAGTCCCCTCTCGAATCAATAACACTGATGACTGGAAAGCGCCCCGCTAGCATGTAGGGCCTCATGAGGTCGAACTCGGGATCGACGACCTCGAGCAGCATGGTCCCGATGAACTCCGCCAAGGCCAGGCCTTCGGAGATAGCCAGAGTCTCCGCTCCAAACTGATGAGCACACTTCCTCTTCAAAGTGTGGCTCTAGCTCGTGGTAGGGAGTCTGCTTGATCTTGAGGGCGACTTCGCTGAACTCCCTGGTCATTCTTCCGATGCGGTTCGCCTCCAGTAGGTCGTCGATCACAAGGTTGGGCATCTTTCCCTGGAGTAGGGACACTGGCCCTGACAAGTCGGGCCGACCCCCTGCCAAGAAAAGGGCCCGCGCGAACTTCTTGCTTGATAAATGTCCTCCGGTGCCACTGCAGCTTGAGGATCTCGGCGGCGCTCAATGCAGATGTTGATCAGCTGGATCTCGGACGAGCTGCGTTGCTGGGAAATGGTGATCTCCGTGTTGTCCTCATTTTGTGACAACTCCTTGCCCGTGTACTTGCCCTTCTTGAACTTCCAAGCTCCGAGAAGAAACCTGTTCCGTAACGTCTCGCAAGCCTCGTCGAACTTTGCGTCGCCCACCCCAGCGACGTCGCCCACCTTCAGCCCCATCGCTCCACGTAGTCCCTGATCACCCCGAAGGTAGAAGACGCAGCCGTCGGAGATGGAGCGCCTGAAGCCGATGTCCTTGGCGTAGTTGGTGAAGGCAGTCAGCCGCTGCACTGGGGCGACTCCGAGCCCGTAGACTGCCTGGGGTTACTCCACCAGTGAGCCTTCCCCCACGTCGGGCATCCCCGTCCGAGGTAGTTCCACGTGCAAGACGCCTGGAGACCGGTCGGTGGGATCGCATGCTGTAAAAATGGAAGTAATGTCGGCCAGCTGGAGAGTCCACTTGCTGGTGCACAAAATCTGCAGGATGAGAAACACCGAGTCCTTCCCGACGACAGGGCCGTAGGTCTCGAGTTACAAGAGATCGGGATCGGCATGGCCCCGCACGGTCCAGCGTGCCTTCGCCATCCTCAGGTCCCGTCGGTCAGGGACAGCAGCTGCCTCATGCTCGCGTCAGCCTCCTCTGGGCCGCCGCGCTTGTCCGCGAGCGCCCGCCTTGAGCCCGTGATGCGAGAAGCCAGCTCAGGATCTTGTCTCCCCTTCGCCGCTTCGGCCGGGGGGATTACTTTGACCGCGTTAGCGTTCCTGATGTTGTTCCATTCTCGACGCTCTGCTGCGACGCAGGGCTGGTACTTGTAGGTGTTCAAGCAGGGCGTATCCGCGATCCCCTTCCTCACCCTCACCCTCTGGCTGGCGCTGGTGACAGGGAGGGGGGGGGGGGGGGCGCGCTCTTGATCGATGTGCCCTTGATCTTTTTGATCTTCTTCGTTGGCGGTGCTGCTGCTTCCTTCTGGATCTTCCCTTCAAAAGTAGCGATGCGTTCTGACGCTGGTATGGCCGAGGTCGGGAAGTCCTCCTTCCGCTCGGTGGAGATCGGCGCATCGCCGAGGTGGTCGTAGCGCCGGCTCTTCATGGCGGTGAGATCGGGGTTGGCCCCTGCAGACTTCTCGATATCCTTGATTGGCGGCCCCCATGGCGTAAGAGCCGGATCGCCGCCTGCAGGCTCGGGCGACGCGTCTCGCGGTAGCTGAGATTCTTCAGGTGATTCTTCCTGCCTCGTGAGAACATCGCACTTGCGCATGCTTCGGATCTTGCTCAACTCCTCCTTCATCGCGCTGTCAACCTGCTCCCAGGCCGTAACCCCCCCCCCCCCCCCGTTTGCATTGCTGTTCTGGCGAGCACTTGAGAGGGCGGCCTTGGGAAGAACACCCGATGATGTTGGGCAGCTCCGCCCGAATTACACGGGCAAGCCCATGCCGGGAGCTCGCTGGGAACTTGTCCGCGCTGCTCCCCAAAGAATAACATCGATCTCCAGGTTGCATCGCGGCCCCTCGTGTTGGCAGTGTTCTCCTGTTGAGAGCTCGGCACCGCTTCTCCGAGCACTCCGCCTCGATGTTGGCGGCCATGGCTGCCTCGCGCATCCCGAGGCTCCTTGCCGACTCGGCGTTGCCGTTGAGGGCTCTCGAAACTGTAGCCAATCTCGATGAACCCTCCTCGAGTATCTTTTCAAGAAATCGAAAAGGTCGCCCAACAACTCGTTAGCATGGTGTGGCCCCCCCCCTGCGCACGCTGTCGCCCGTGGCTACGTTAATAGAGTCGACGAGCTCGTAGAAGTCGCCCTAGTTGTTGGCGTTGAATTCTGCCTGGCGCGGTAGAGGGTCTAGGGTCACCTTCCAGGCCCCCCCCCCCCCCACGCACACTCTTTCTGTCTCACCTGCCTGCCATGGTGAGGTAGCGCTTGTCACCTTCACCTCCGTTCCTTCTCATTCAGCCGCCGCAAGTAATTCGCCCACCGAGAACCACTTCTCGCCATCGGTCACGATGAACCGCGGCGCCCCGTAGACCCGCTTCCAAAACCTCGATGGCGCCCTCGTCCGTGGCGGCTCGGAAGCGGCTCCACCACTTGATGGCCTGTTCCATGGCACGCACTGTTGAGCATGGGGAGGAGGAGGAAGAGCCACGAAGCGCGCGAGGGCCGTGCTAAAAAATACCACTGAACAAGCTCCAGTGCGAGGCCAACTTGCATACGCCACCACCGCCCGCAACAATAATTCTCCTCAGAAAGGGTTAGGGGCAGGGTCGTGCCAGACGACGCTGCGACGCGACGGCGAAAAGGATCGCGGCGCAGCTCGCAGGCGCCGTGGCATGGGGAGTTCCTGAAGCAGAAAGAGCACTTCTTGGCGGTGGTGTATAAAGAATGCTCCTCTTGGTAACCAAAATTATATACACCACCACCGCGCGGGCTCCGATGAATTCTGTTTCGGTCCTTGAGGCAAAGGGGGCAGCCCTCTTGCCGTTGGCGGCGGGGGGGGGGGGGGGAGGGGCTGCGGGCTTTTCCCCAAGAGCACAACTGCACCACATCGCATCGTATATTATTATCGATCTTGGTGGTGGTGGTCAGATATTGTGCTCGGATCCAGTGCTCTGCCTGATCGAAAAACGCATGCACAATCAAAGCACGATCGGTCCCTATGGCCCTGCCACGCGTTCCTGACTCGGGGACGGCTCAGAAAATGAGAATCCCATGGCTCTGCCGCGCATTCGTAACGTGGGCACACTGAACTGGTGAGAATCCCACAGCCCTGCCACACGCTCGTGATTGCGGGAGCTAGTGTGGTGAGACCACAATGGCCATGTTCAGCGTTTTTGATGATGCTGCTGGTCAACAGGATATGATAGCAACATTGATCCCTGCAACTTTTCCGTGGATGATAACGTTCAGCCTTCGTTTTTTCTCCACAGTTCAATCAAATTGGTCGGGGATCAAACAAACGCTCGGGGGGAAAGGGGGGGTAGGTTATGATCGCCCGTCGGCGGTGCTACATATATATATATATATATACACCTGTGTATATATATACATGGCCAAACAGAACTTCACTAAGCGCAGAGCTCCCCATCTGCGCATATCATGTATTGGCACGTCCGGATCTGACTGTCCGCCTGGGAATCTTGGCCTCTGACGACTGAAAGGTGTCTGGCGGCTTCTTCTTGGAGCGCCCCAATTCTCTGCCTGCCACATCGGGATGAACTTGAAGTCCTGGAAGAAGGAGAGGAGCTAGGGGCTCCCAAGCCAATGTTTCACCTCCGACTTCCCCACGACCTGGCGCGACCGGGCAAGTGTAACACCCCCAGGCGGTTCCCCCCTGGGATGGCCAAGTGGATGCCCGCCACATCACGGTGATCATGGGGCTCTGACTGGACAGGAATCGGGTGTACCAAAACCAGCGACCCGTTCCAGACATCCCCACAACCTGGGCGCGAACGGGCAAGCGCAACACTACTTGGTAGCTCCTCCCGAGGGTGCCAAACCGTAATGCATTCTGTATCGCGGTGATCGCGAGGCTCTCCAAAGTCAGGGGTCGTCATCACCAAACGAGCGAAACGCTCGAGACACCCCGAAAATCTGACCGGGAACGGGGACGTGCAAACAATCAAAGGTAGCAGCGTGGAATGGGGATTCCCCGCTGCAATGTCCCAGGGGGAACCGCCGGCCACGCGGGGGCTCGTCGTCGGGCCCTCCGCCAGTGGCTCCCCCTTCTTCTCCTTGTCGTCCCCCGCCCCCTGCCCCCCCCCAGCCCATCCCCCTGCTGTTGCTCAGACTTCCTCATCGCCCTCGTCGTCGTCGTCGTCGTCCTGGTCGTCGTCGTCGTCGTCGTCGTCGTCCCCCTCCTCCTCGGCATCCATTTCCACCCCCTCATTGTCCTCCTCCTCCTCCTCCTCCTCCTCCTCCTCCGCCTCCTCCTCGGCATCCGTCTCCTCCTCCTCATTGTCCTCCTCCCCCTCCTCACCATCCTCCTCCTCCTCCCCCTGCACTTCCTTCATCCTCGCCATCCTCGTCCTCGCACTAAGGCGCCTACGCGCCACCTTCCGCGGGCAGCTTACGCACAAGTGCACGCGCAATCGACCCCCTTGAAACCCTGCGGGTGCGCCCTCCCGCGGGCGCTTTGAAATGTGTCGCCCGCTTGCGGTTGCGGTTGCGCCCTCCCGCGGGCGGGTTGAAATATGTCGCCCGGTTGCGGTTGCGGTTGCGGTTGCGCCCTCCCGCGGGCGGGGTGAAATGCGTCGCCCGCTTGCGGTTGCGGTTGCGCCCGCGGGCGCTTTGAAATGTGTCGCCCGGTTGCGGTTGCGGCTGCGGTTGCGCCCTCCCGCGGGCGGGTTGAAATTTGTCGCCCGGTCGCGGTTGCGGTTGCTCCCGCGGGCGCTTTGAAATGTGTCGCCCGGTTGCGGTTGCGGTTGCGGCTGCGCGCTCCCGCGGGCGCTTTGAAATGTGTCGCCGGGTTGCGGTTGCGGTTGCGCGCCCGCGGGCGTTTTGAAATGTGTCGCCCGGTTGCGGTTGCGGTTGCGGTTGCGCGCCCGCGGGCGCTTTGACATGTGTCGCCTGGTTGCGGTTGCGGTTGCGCGCTCCCGCGGGCGCTTTGAAATGTGTCGCCCGGTTGCGGTTGCGGTTGCGCGCCCGCGGGCGCTTTGAAATGTGTCGCCCGGTTGCGGTTGCGGTTGCGGTTGCGCGCTCCCGCGGGCGCTTTGAAATGTGTCGCCCGGTTGCGGTTGCGGTTGCGCGCTCCCGCGGGCGCTTTGAAATGTGTCGCCCGGTTGCGGTTGCGGTTGCGCGCCCGCGGGCGCTTTGAAATGTGTCGCCCGGTTGCGGTTGCGGTTGCGCGCGCTCCCGCGGGCGCTTTGAAATGTGTCGCCCGGTTGCGGTTGCGGTTGCGCGCTCCCGCCGCTTTGAAATGTGTCGCCCGGTTGCGCTTGCGGTTGCGCGCTCCCGCGGGCGCTTTGAAAATGCCGGTTGCGGTTGCGGTTGCGGTTGCGCGCGCTCCCGCGGGCGCTTTGAAATGTGTCGCCCCGGTTGCGGTTGCGGTTGCGGTTGCGCGCTCCCGCGGGCGCCCTTTGAAATGTGTCGCCCGCTTGCGGTTGCGGTTGCGCGCCCGCGGGCGCTTTGAAATGTGTCGCCCGGTTGCGGTTGCGGTTGCGGTTGCGCCCTCCCGCGGGCGGGTTGAAATTTGTCGCCCGGTCGCGGTTGCGCCCGCGGGCGCTTGAAATGTGTCGCCCGGTTGCGGTTGCGGTTGCGGTTGCGCGCTCCCGCGGGCGCTTTGAAATGTGTCGCCCAGTTGCGGTTGCGGTTGCGCGCCCGCGGGCGTCGGGAAGCTTCTGACCCGGGTCAATGCAGACCCGGGTCAATCAAGATAAGCAGTTTCCAAAATCGACCGCCGACCGGCAATTCAACAAGAACGCCCGTGACTAGAAAAAATCTGCCCTGACGCAGGGGGTTCGCGGTTGGCCACTCGAACAAAGTCGCCACGCGCGGCGGGAACTCATTGACCCCAGGGGGTATTCCTCGACCCGAGGTGGCCTGCTGCAGGTATCGATGACGACGCACCTTTGCACAGTGCAACTGGCCCCCAGAGGCCGCGGTCCAAAAAGACGATCACGGCGCCTCGGTGAACTCTCGTTCTCCTAGAACGGTGCCCCCCAAACCACTGGGCCCAATGTGGGCTCACGGACCCAGCGCGTGAAGGATTTCGCTTTGTAATGGGATAGTTCGTTACTTCCCCTTCCCCAAGCAAATGTCCTGCGTTGCCGTGTGGCGCCAGTTGTGACATCTCTCCCGACCTCCGCATCGAACGCCGCATACCTGCACTAAAACTCACACATATTACCACGAAGATTTGGCCCTGAAGACGGAAGGCAACGGCGCGCGCAATAACTGCCCATATATCCGCCCCCGCAGCTGGGGCAGGGCATGCACAACCCAAAAAACGCCGATGGTTGACCACCCGTGCGCGGCCATGCCTTCCATGCCCAACGAATGGACAGGAGAGGGCAAGCCCGAAGGAGACAACATCAGCACGGGTTTGGGCCGTTGACCCGCCCAGGTTTGCGCCTTGGGGCGCTGGGCCGCCCGTGGGGCTTAAGCCAAAATTGCCGCGGAGGGGGGGGCAAGGGGAAGAAAGAAAAGCAGGGACAGAAGGGGAGGTCCAGCGGCAGCGGCGGGGGTGTTGACGGACAAAGCAGGCGGGTAGGAGGGCGAGGAGGAGGAGGAGGAAGGAAGACTCAATGGAACATGCCCCCGCCGATTCGGGCGGCGGCGCCGCCGCCGCCGTCCGGGGTCAAGTGGTCCAGGGGGCGTATGTTTGTTCAGCCCTCGTTTCCCGCTTGGACGTGACGGGGTGGGTGGCCTGTCGAACTACACGCTCCCGAGAGCACTTGGTGGGAATGGCCGCGACTCACCGCGCGGTCCAGGATGGCCCTCGAAATTGCTCCAGGATGTCCCTGGGACGCCCAATCTAGCCTCCAGCAGGGCACAACATCGGCCATGGCAGGACCAAGATGTCTTCCAACATGGCCCCGAACAAAACGTAATGCGGCATTAACTCGGCCCTGGTGGTTGAAAAATTCCAATGGAATACCCCGGAACATATGGTGTGGTCAAGCCGGGAACCTGTCAATTCTGGCGCCGCAACCACAACCACGTCTGGCGAATTCTTCGCGCCGCAAGGTCGCGCCAACGTCGCCAACGAGAGGCAACAAAAAACGGCGCCAAGACAAACCGCAGGTGAGCTCCCACCCCGCCCGCGAGGGCCACGCAACGCCCTCGAAGAAGGCCCTGCGAAAATAGTTTCGGGGGCCCGCTGGAACGCCAGCAGCGTCGAGAGAGTTCGTTTTTGCCGGTAGCTTTCACAACGGCCTGGCGCCAAGCCGCGCGCGGGCCAACGTGCATCCCCACGAAGGTCCAATGACCCGCATGAGAGCCCCCAGGGGGCCCCAGTAGAAACCCCACGGCCCCCCCCCAACCTCTGAATCGATCGGCAAAAATATAACTGTTACGCTGCGTTTGGGCTGATCCTGAACTCGGCCGAACGGGTGCCGCCCTTCCTTTGTCCGCGATTGTACCCGCGGCCGTGCTCAAGATACCCCATCGTAAGATCGTCTCTGGATGGGCCTGCGCGACGTCGCAAAGCACCGATTATCTTCGCGCTGCGCGCGGGTTGCCACCGTCATGGGCGCGGACCGCGCTCCCCCGCATTGCGTCAAGGTGCTGCCGTGCGCTCGCGCGCGGCTGGTCCGCACAATCACGGCACAACGAGCAGCAACAACGGCAGTGGCGATGATGGGATTGATTCCAGACGGGGCATAACAAGAAAATAATTTCGCATGCGGCCGATGCGGTCTTACATGCACCAGTGCTGCGCACTGGCGGCGCCCCCCCGTAACTAAAATTTAAATGGGCAAGGTGGGTTCCCCTGCTTCCTGTGCTGGCCCCACGCCCACTTGATGCAGTGTTTCATGCACGCTGTTTTCGAGAACCGAAGCCCTCAAGTTCTCGTGCGGCTGGCTGGCGCACAATTCGGGTAGTAAGCTGTCCAACACCTCTTGGGCACAACGCACTGGATGCAAGCCCCAGCAACCTGGGGCATCAAAGCCTGCGCGGCTTTCACGTCTGCTACCTTGGCCCAAACCACCTGATGCTTGACAACTTTTCGCTGCTGGGCTGGCTTGGCCTTAGTGGCCTTCTTCGCCTGAAGGCCGAGGGACTCTAAATACTTAGACCCAAGTCCGATCGCAACCTTCGTGCGCTCTGTGGCGCCGGCTTGCTTGGCCGACATCTCCTCGGACTCCCTGAGCAGAGCCTTGTCGCTTGGGTCCAACGTGCTGTCGACCAATTCAGAAGAAGCGCTGAGGACGGACTTGCTTCTTCCGACGTGCGTGCGGGATTCCAAGGCAGCGTCCATTTGCTGCTGCGTGACGTTCGGCACGAAGCAAGCAATCAAAGCGATCACGGCCCCGATGAGCGCCTTGGGGCGCTTGCCTTGGATCTGAACTCCCCATTGCAGCGCCATTTTTTTGATGTACATGGCTGGCACATGCTTGAACCCGACGAGGGCGGCTCGACGCGTGAGGGCGCTCGGCCCCACAGCGTTGATGACTATCTCTGGAGATGCGCCCTCGGCCAGGCGGGCAATTGGGGGCAAAGCCACTGTCTCGAAGCACTCCCATTGCGTGCAGTCGTCCATGCGGATCCACCTCGGGCGGCACGCTACTTCCTCGGAACGAATGCGGCAGCGCGCAGGCCGACCCGCCGAGCGCTTCAACTCGCAAGCAACGCCGAGGAAGGCGAAACGACACGTGTCGAGGACCACATAGGTGGCGCCGCTGCTCACGTGACGGACGACATCAGACCGCACGGGGAAGTAGGCGTGCCAACACGTAGGAAGCTTGTCCATGTTGCCCGTCCCGTGCACATCCAACATCAATGAGAACGCCGCGGGAAACGCATTCTTGGCAAGCGCCGTCACTGGTAGCCACGTGGTCGCCTTTTCCTGAATCTGCTCCAGCTTCGGCACTGCGAAGGACACCGGGCTACTCAGCGCGTCGTACCCAGCACGAACTATATCAGGCAAAGGCTCCTCTACGCAATCGGCGGGCAACACGTGCTTCCGGTTCATACGTTCGAAGTGGCCAGCACCATCCAACATGCTTGGACTCCTAATCTCTTGTTCGGGGCTTCTTCCAGACGCCTCCCAAGGTACTGCCAACCCTTCTCGTTGCCGATCGTGCTCCCCAGGGAAACATGGATCGCACAATCTCCTGCACCTTGGGCGTCACGATCTGGAACCCAAATTCGCTGAGCGAGCACAAGACGTCCCGAACAACGACCCACTCGCACTGGGGCACCGCCCGCCACAGCACCGCGAATTCTTTGTAGACGTGGCGCTTTGCCTCGAAAGTCTGAATAGCATCCCAAGCGGTAGCGCACCAGGCCAACGCATCTTTGACAACCGCGGGCGCAGAGCTCAGCAGAGCAGCGAACCTTCCAGGCGGCAGGTCCACGTAGTTCAGATGAGTCAGGCTGCGCCACCGGACAATTTGGAAGACGGTGGACCAAGCGTGCTGCGCCTTCCAGGTCTCGTGCTTCCGCAGCGCGGAGTTGGCGTCCATGGCCAACGCCTTCTCGTGCGGAAACTCGAAAGACACCATCAACCCTGCCTGGGATAGAGTGCTCATGGTTCGCAAAGATGCCCACATCTTCCCAATCCTGTCCAAGTATCCGCCACCACGCCCTGGGCGCGTCCAGGCGCGCTGGATCGGCTGTTGGCTGCCCGATTGGATGCCGGCATGTTGTCAGCAGATCGGCAAACTCCCGTTGCCCCCAAAGACGCAGCTACCTCTCCCCCCCTGCGTTGGCTTTCGGCTCTCGCATCGCCACCACATCGGCTCAAAAAGACCTGCTACGGGAACGAAGCTGCCTCAACGTTCTACGTGGCCGCTCGGGTCGGCTGGGCGATCCAGCGGAGGACCCGAAACGCTGTGAAAGGGCACTGGGAACCTTCACAATGCCGCAAGAGAGGCCCCAAAAGCCTCCCAGCAAGTCACTCGGAAAACGAGCGACATGAGGAAGATGATCCTTGCGAAGGGCCCAACCCCATGCAGCTGCGTGTAGCGCTGAGCGCGGTTCTCTCCTCAAGCATTGCGTGCCGCGGGGTGCAGCGAGAACCCTACGGGCGAGGTCACAGAGATTGCCGGTAGAGATCCTCATGACACGCGATTTGCGTGAGGGGTGTGCCAGAACGGACGAGGGCGGCATGCGATGCCCTTCTTCACTGGGGCAGTAGGTCCAGATCCCTGGGTGGTGCAACCCACGCCCAAATTGTGCCGACATCGGCGCTTGAACGCTTCGTCACCTTCCCAACTGGCGCCAGAGGAGAACTCCGCACGGCACGCGATCCGCGCGAGGGCACCAAGAGGCGCCCCAGAGGGCCTCCGGATTTCCCCAAGAGGCCTCAACTTGCACTGAAGCTATCGCTTCTACTTCCGCCACGCGGAATTGGACCATCGGCTCACTGGGGGCGCTCTTGGAACCCTCTTGAGGCTCGCTTTAGGACCCTGCTGGCGTCCTTAGCCCGTCTCTGGCGGCCCCGGGCGGGCCGCAAGAACCCGCCAGGAACTATCGGCTTCCAACTCCGCCATTCGGAATTTGACCAGGGGCTAATTGGGACAGCGTTGCAGCTCTCTTACGGCCCTCATGCGGCTCTCATGGGGCTCTACATGGCAGTCCCTTCGGGCCCCAAGAGGACCCGCAAGAGGGTACTCGAAGTTATCGCTTCTAACTCCGCCAGGCGGCAGTGGCCCATGGACTGGGATCATTCTTGAAACCTTCTTGGGGCTTGCTCGCGGGCCTTCCAGGAGCTTCAGACACGCGTTTGAGGCTCCGAACGAAACCTAAGAACGCTGCCAAAAATTATCCGAGCCCCAGCTCCGCCATGCGAACTTTACTTTGACAAGGGGTTCACTGGGGCCCTGGAGCCCTCATGCGGCCCTGAAGCGGCCCTCCTTGGGCCTTTTGGGGCCGCCCCAAGAGACCTGAGAAAACATCCTCAAGGGCCCTTGAAAAAGAACAGGGGGATATTGTTTCCAAATCCGCCAGGGGGAGGTGGACCAGGGCTCACTGGCAATCCGCTCGGAACCGTGCTGGGGTTCCTGCGCGGCCCTCCCGGGGCTCTCCCAGGCCGTCTTGGGGGCACCGACCGACAAAAACAGGGCGCCAGATGATTGCTGCGAACTCCGCCAAGCAAAGTTCGACCAACGGCTCACTGGGCCATCCTTGGAGCCCTCGCGCGGCCCCGAGAGCCCTCGCGGGGCCCGCCCGGGCCCCCGCAGGGGCAGCATTAGGCGCCCAAGAGAGCACTGGAAGTGATCGTTTCCAACTCTGACTGGCGGACTTACACCAAATGCTCACTGGGCTCCCTTTTGGAAGCCGTTCTGAGACTCTCTTGGACCCCTCTTGGGCCCTCTGGTGCACGCCGCCCTCTTTCTCGCACTGGTGGTCGTCTCCGTCCTTGTCCTCGCGATCGCCTTCCGGATATTCTTCGTCGTCGTTGCCGTCGCCAGTCGCTGCGAGTCGGCGGGGGAGGGGGGATCTGCGGGGGGGGGCGGCCCTCGCCCCAATTGTTTGTGATCCACCCTCCATCCCTCCCTCCCCTCATTCCTGTCTGACCTTCTGCTCGGCGGAATTGTTCTCCTCTGGTTACCGCCCAATTGCTTCCCCTTTCCCTGGCCTCCTCTCCCATGTCGCCCCCGCCGTTCCCCCCCGCGTGGCTCCAAACCGTTTTTACACTTGTCCAGGGCTCGATGCTTCTCGGCCCTCCAGGGGGGCCCTGCCGTCGTGCAGCATCGCTAGTTGCGGTTCCTTTGTGTGCTCGTTTCCCCACGCTCGGATGTTCGCCAAACGCGCGGCGGAAACCCGCGCGATGATGGGGGCGTTGCCCCTGCGCGGGCAGAGGAGCAACTGCCTTGGAAGCACCCCCGCGGGGTGCTTCAACGGGCGCGGCGCTTGCCGCAGGCAACTGGATATACCGCGCGCGTACGCCACGTAGTACTTCAAAACATGCTCCTCGTCATTCAAAAATCCAGAATACTCGGCAGCAGCTGCCTTGTAAACGGTCTCCGCGAAAGTGGTCCAAATGTCAGCCTTCACCCAAGTCTCCGCGTGCCCGAGAACCTCCCGCACCTCCTCCAAGCCGCTCGGGCGTTCGAACCTGCGGGGCGGACCTGCAGCGTCCCCCGCTGTTTCGGGCGACGCCGTCAAAGCACCCTCTGCCAAGCCCGCTGCCACGGGGGCCGCGGCAGGGCTGGAACTCGAAGAAGGAGCTGCGGAAAAGGACGGCGCCGCGGCCTGGCCAGGGCTCGGCGAGCCCGAAACAGCTGTCTTTGACTCACCTGGGCGGGCACACGGCAACCAGCTTACGGTTTCATGTCCAGCTGCGGCCCCTGTGCTGGAGCAGAGGATGTCCACGACATCTAAAACAAACCGATTCAACAATCGATGCGGTTTGAACTCACGCATGCAACGCTGATGGGACCCCCACCTCGACCACTTCACGCGTTCGTCCATGCGCGCGAAGCACGCTTCGAAAGGCAGCCGGTCGATGACGCGCTGCACGTGCTCGAGGGTGCCGAAGTCAACGGGAACGTCACCCGAGAGTTTGCACATGTCTTCAAAATAACTCATCAGGAGATCCTCGTCGGTGAACGCCGTGACGGCGTACTCCTTGACGGCCTCCACCGCCCGGTTGAAATTCTGTGACGACTTGAACGGCCCAGCATCAAAATTAAGCGCCGCAGACGTGTCCAAAATCATATTCCAGTTGTCGCTGTGAATGGCAGCCATGCGCATGTCGTTGGGGCATCTGTGCAAGGGGTCCATAAGCCACACAAACCGGAAACCGTGCGCCGAGAGCCAATGATACAGAGGCGCATCTTTCGGGCCTTCATCCGCAACGATGGTCAGACAAGGCTGCGATCGTGCTGTCTCGCCCACGGGGACATCGAATCGGGCCCTCTTGGTCTCCCGATCCCACACGCAAGAGCGTCTCCACGATACCCCATCAGGCAGATCACATGGCGAGGGGGTCTTGGAAGGTTTCGTGTACCTCTGCTCAGACGCCTTCAAGACTGGGACGCACTGGGAGCGGTTATGGAACTTGGCGAGGCTACTCCCAGCATGCATCAAGGAATCCAACCAGCCCTCCGGGCGAAAATGGCTTGCCGACTTCTAGGGTCGAACTCTCGTCGCCCTCCCCGGGGGGTGGGGGCGCCCGCACCCCCCCGCCCCTTCCCCGAGGCGCGGTCGGCCCCCGTCCCCCCCGCGCGCCTGACGCGCCAAATTCCGAAATAAATTCTTGTGGTTCCTACGTGGCCCCAGACGCCCTTGCGCGGCCTCGGCCACGGCGCGCTAGAGCTCGCGTTGGACTAAGTCGGCCTCTGACGCGATTCCAAGAGGAGGGGCCCTAACCGCAGCAAGACGGCATTGTGGCGACCCGGACTCTTCTAAATCGCAAAGTGGGCATTATTGGGAACTTCGGTGCTATTTGAAGAATTCTCGCCCATCGACGGCCGCCCTTCCGATAGATTTCCGAAACCTCTTGACGGGCCCAGCGCGGCCCATCGCGGCCTCTCGATAGAGCCGAAAGAGCTCCCAGGAAAAAAGAGAAAAAAAAGAGAAGACAAAAAAAAAAAGGCACGGGGCAGGCGCCTCGGGCTCGCCCCGAGAGGGCCGAAAGATGCAACGTCTCGAGTTCCAGGAGGGGAAAAGCTGTCGAGGGCCCCCCCATCGCGGGCCGACAGCTGCAGGGGCAGTTCCCGCGCGGCCCCGAGCGCCCCGAAAGAGCCCCAAGAGAAAACGCCAGATTGGCTCTGCACGCGTTTGCGGCGGCCCAAGCACGGCGTTGAGAGGGTTTCCGAACACCTCCGAAAGTCGGCGACATATCCCCCGCAAGGGCTTCCCTGGGCGGCCGGAGGGGGGATGCGCCAAGCGCCGAAGATTATCCAGAGCGCGGCCCATGTGGTAAGCAGCTCGACGGGTCAAGGTGCCAGACTTCCGCTTGCCCTTGACTTTCTCGATCTCGGCCGCCTCTTTCAGCGAGCGCAGCCGCGCAGCCACGCGCTCCTGCAGGGCGGTCCGCCGGACCGCCAGGCGCCCCTTGAGGCCCCGGACCGTCGTCTTCAGCGCAGGCATCACCTGCGGGAGCTGCGACGCAAGAAAAAAAAACTGCACTGCAGTTTTTTCCGAAAAAAAACTGCATTGCAGTTTTTCCTCGACTCCCAAACCCGGGTCAGCCAATACGCGGGGTTCCTTCTGCGGTCACGGGCGGCTCCTAAACCCGGGTCAATCAGAGCCCAGAGCCGGAAAAACTGCAATGCACCTATTTGGCGTGGCTGTAAAACTCCTGCGCGCCACGCGCGCCCCCTGCAAGCGAATCCTCTGGAACTCGACGCGGGGGCGGTGGGCCTGGAAGGCAAGGGGGCCCGAGCGGGCTCCGGGAGGACCTCAGGAACCCAAGGACAAGCCTTGGGAGAGGGGGGAAAAGCCCAAATGCACCCCAGCCCCCCCCCCCACCAGTAGAGCATTCGAAACCGCCGTCTCAGAGGCCCCACCGCGGATGCCCAAGGAGGCGGCCAAGAATCCCAAGGGCACCGAGAAGGCCCAGGAGCGTCCCAAGGGGCCTCCAGGGAGGGCCCCGAGAGGGCTCCAAGCGGGCTCGGGGGGCTCCAAAACAAACCTGGGGGGCGCCCTAGAAGCCTCTGGAGCGACCCCCGTTGTGGAGCATTGGCAGCGGCCGTTCCAGATGCTCTGCCGGCAGTGCTCCCAGAGGGCGCCAGGCGAGGTCCAGCAGGGCCCTGGAAATCCCGAGGGGGGCTCGAGAAGAGCCGAAAGCCCGGGACCCCCCAAGAAGCCCCCAGAGGGCCGTGGAGGCCCCAAGGGCGCGGTAGGCGCCGGAGCCCCGAGGGCCCCCTCGCGGCGGAGCATCCGCGCCCGCCGTTTCCTATACTCCACCGCGGGGGGCCAGAGAGGCCGCGAAACAACACCAAAAAACATATGGTCAATTCGACGTCGAAATGCGACTCTGCGTGACACTACGCATTGCACTGCGCAGCGCAACTGCGAACCCAGATCCGTGGAAGACTTCGCCCCGCATGCCTGGGGGACCATCCAGAACAACTCCTTGGAGACAGGCTCGTAAGCAAGCAAAGATAGCATATCCTTCCCAGCCTTGTCACTGCAGTCCATGCACAGCGTGATGTGCGTGGCGTCTCCGAGCCTATATACTTGGTGGGCGTGGTACTTGCCCAACTGGATTGCATCGCGCCTGAGGTCGTGAGCACACCGAGGCGCGTCGCCAAGCTCCTTGCCATGAGACCCCTTCAACACGCCAAGACACGGCCCTGTAGAGTTCAGCCACACCCCAGTCAGCCGACGGCAGCGGCCGCGGCCCTCAAGCAAAGGCGCTCCCCTTTGTCCTGCAGGCCGTCCTCCGACGTCCGCGCAAGCGTCGATGAGCTCGACGAGCTGCCAAAACACCTGGTACCTCCAGGTCTCCACCGCAAGACAGTCTTCATAACGCTTCGACCGCGCAACCTGGAAAAATGCCGAGACGTCTTTCCAATTATCGTTCCCACGGGTTGCCTTGAGCTGCTGGACGACGTGCTGGACATGCCTGCACTGGCCGCCACCGTGGCAACACGCCGGCAAGTTTTCGCCGCAAAGACCCAAGACAGGAGGGGTCACGGAACCAATGTCGGCAAAATGGCGGAAATGCTCGGCACAGTTCTCCTTAGTTCTCCTGCCCAACTTCGCGTCCATGAAGGACAACATGAAAGCAAGCATGTACGCGGTGCTTCCCATGATCTCCACATCATGGCCTAAGACATCGCAAGCGCCCTCGCCCAGTGCTCTGACTTGCTTCTGGGATCTCCGGAAGTGGGTGTCTGGCGGAACCTCGTACAAGCCCAATTCGGCGTCAATTCGAGCTTTGTTCTGCTGCTTGCGCAGATAAGTCGCCAGATCGCAACTTTTCGGGGAAAAAACCGAGCCGATAGAAGAAACCTCGCAACTCCCACCAAACAGTCGGGCCGTCCTCGATGAAAGGTTTGTTCAAGCACCTTGCAGACATGCTGAAAATGGCCGCGCCGTGCACATCCCGAATCGTGAACTCCTTCGTGCGACTGTTGAGGAAACTGGCTGGGGCCTCGGGCACGACGTGCACCTCGGGCGCCAGGCCGAACGCCTCTGGGGCAGCCTGTGCAGGTTCTGGATCAAAGAGGGCTTCGTCATCGGGCGCGTCGACCTCACCGATCATTTCCATGGGGTGGCCTGCGCGATCACGGTGCGCGGAGCTGCGAGCAACGAAGCTTGGGGCCAAAATGCCGAAGGTGGCGAAGAGCAGGAGGTCAGAAGTCGGAGAGGGAGGGAGGAAAGGCAAATGAAACGACGGACAAACCTGTTCCCTAAAAGCCGCCCACCCCACTGCCGAACCCCAGGGAGACACACCTTTGCTTCCGCCTTCCTTGGGGCCTTCCCGAGGCCCTCTTGACGCTCCGCGAAGCTCCCAGGAGGGCCCCCTCGTGCGGCCACGACTTTGCAGCCAGTATTAGTATGCGCCCGCCAGTCGGACGGTTCCCAGGACTCAGACGGCAATCGTGAGGGTGAATTGCCGAGTCTCGGAGTCCTACAGATTGATTTCTCAGCCGACGAGGCGGCCGCAGCAGCATTCGGGTTTGACTTATCCCGGACAGCTTCGAGGGACCATTTTGAGTGATTTGTTTTTGCCGTTTGTGGGCGCGCAAGACAGGCGGGGTCCTCCTGACCCACCCGAGCTAGAACATGATGTAGCGTTGTGCCTCCTCTCCTCCCTCACCCCGTGCAGCCAGCCCCGCCGCTACACCACCTGCCTACGCACGCGCCTCGCGAATTACTGAGGTCCGCCCTCTGACCGACGGGATTTCTTCGAGTGGCGGTCAAGCCACCATTCCTTTTGTCAAGACACAGAGGGTCAGCTAGGGCCCTGGATTCGGTTAGGCAGGAACTGCAGGATGTTGCTTACCCTCTCGATCTACGGGCAAGGCCGGAAGGAAATTCGAAGACGCAAAAACGCATATGAATTTTCTGCTGCTAGTGCGGGCGGTGCACTGGCGTACCCCATGCTGGATGTTGTTGCCCGCGCATCCAGAAGTGCAGAGAGATAGCTCTTCTCACACTGCCCCCCCCCCCGATTTGGCGACGCCCATCGCGCTGGGACGGCCACTGCGACTCACCTTTTCAAATCTTGTTTGCGCGGCAACCAGAGGAGGGATAGAGAGACCAGCACCCGAAAGGAGGGGTGAGCGACTGGGGCCAGGAAGCAGGAGCTGACGGCGAGCGTGCCCGACGGAATTGGAGCCTAGATGGCCCCTGGTTGGACCCTCCAGGGGTTCCAGCAAGGCTCCAGCAGCTCCCGTCGTTCCGACTCCGGCTCGCGATCTTGATTATTTCTCTTGGCAGGAGTGGCTGCGGAAACCAGCGGCTGCATTTGAAGGTCAGTTTATTCCTCATTCACAGTCTCTCCTGATTGTTTCTCTTGGCAGGGATGGCTTCGGAAAAAAGCGGTTGCATTTGAACGGCGGGTTATTCCTCACCTGTACCCTCTAGACCAGCATCAATCCCACCACGTGGGATAGCAAGCGTGTAGAACGAGATGGTCTTATGCAAGTTCCGCCGACGGCTCTTAATTTTCTTTCCGACTCCTTAGTCCCATCTCATATCCTACCCCGGCTCAGGTTCCTGCCCCCTTCTTCTGACACTGGCTCACGATCCTGATGATTTCTCTTGGAAAGAGTGGCTGCAGAAACAAGCGGTTGCATTTGAGCATTGGTTCATTCCTCATTCGCAGTCTCTCCTCTATAATTATCTTGGCCCGAATGGCTTCGGAAAGAAGCGGTTGCATTTGAGCGGCGGGTTATTCCTCACCTACATTCTCCAAACCAACATGAATCCCACCATGTGGGATAGCAAGCGTGTGGAACGAAAATGTCTAATGCTAATTCCGACTCCAACTCCTACTTTCTTTCCGACTCCTAGTGCCTCCCCATCTCTCCGACTCCGGCTCCGACTCCGTCAGGACACGTGCCTTCACCCAGCAAATGCAGTAAGCGGGCCCTGGCCCACCCGCGCTGCCCCTTTGGGGCCTGTTAACCAACCGCCCGGCGGACTCGGCACGCCCCGTCCGGTCCCGTGCAAGAGAGCCCCCGACCTGGCAGACAGCTGACGTAAACAACAATTTCTCAACAGTGCGAGTTCCGTCAGCTTTTTTGGTCAGCTCTTGGGCCGAAAACGGGCCCTTTCGGGACCCCCCCAGGGCCTTCTGAGGACGCTCGTGGTTTCCTCATGTGGGCTCCAAGGCGGGGCCCACGGACACCCTAGAGAGCCCCAAGAGAAATCCAAGAGGGCTCCGTGAGAGCCCCCGAGCTGACAGAGAGCCGACAGAAACAACACTTTCTGAACAGTGCGATGTCTGTCAGCTTTCAGTCGGCTATTGCGCCGAAAACGGGCCCTTTTGGGACCCTCCAATGGCCTTCCGCGGACGCTCGCGCTTCCCCCTGGGGGCCTCCAAGAGGGGCCCACGGAGGGCCCAACTGAGCCCCGAGAGCGGTCCAAGAGGGCTCCATGAGAGCCCCCGAGCTGACAGACAGCTGACAGACACAGCACTTTCTGAACAGTGCGATGTCTGTCAGCTTTCAGTCGGCTCTTGCGCCGAAAGCGGGCCCTTTTGGACCCTCCAGTGGCCTTCCGAAGACGCTCGCAGCTCCCCGGGGGGCTTCAAGAGGGGCCCACGGGGGGCCGAAGAGAGCCCGACGAGGGGCCCAAGAGGGCTCCATGAGAGCCCCCTTGCTGACAGACAGCTGACAGAGACAGCTCTTTCCGAAAAGTGCGAATTCTGTTAGCTGTCTGCCAGCTCTTGGGCCGAAAACGGGCCCTCCAAGGACCCTCCGTGGGCCTTCTGAGAACGCTCGCAGCTTCCCTGGGGGGCTTCACAAGGGGCCTGACGGGGGCCCAAGAAAACCCCAAGAGTGGCCCAAGAGGGCTCCAAGGGAGTCCAAAATACAGCTGGATTGGTTTCGTCACGAAGGACAGGTTGGGAACGTAAATCCACGAGCCTCGATGGGTGTAACGAAGAGGATGGCGCAGCAGAGAATGGAGAACCACTGCGGCCGACCAGCACGGTTCACCTTAGAGGCCCTTGCCAATTTTGAAATTTGTCTTTGTCGGAGGCCGTTTTTTTTTAAAAAAAAAAAAAAAAAAAAAAAAAAAAAAAATAGGCAACGGCCTCTGTTATGGTGCGGGCCTCAGCTGATGGTCCTCGAAAGCACGCCAAAATGTTTCGACGTAGGAGCCTTTGCCTACTCCGCGAAATGCCCATATTGAATGGGGACCTCCTCCTCCTCCTCCTCCTCCCCACCTGTGTCATATACGTCCTCCGATAATGCGGCTCGCTCAGCAAACCATCACAACCGACGGGTCAGTAGGATCACTGGCCCACGGCAAACAGATCCAGGACCTTGAACCCAGGAGCGCGCAAAACCGAGGGCGAACTAGAAACGACGACGGGTGAGGCCCGAAGCGGGACCAAGGAAAGCTCTGGAAACCACCCAGGACAATCGAGCACTGCACGCTGCCCCCCCCCCCTTTCGTTGCACCGCGGGGCGCGGTGCCCTGAGAAGGGGGGTGGGGATCTACAATTGGGGCGGTTTTGGGAATGGGCGCTACCCCGCCCCGAGGGCCGAAAGCCACCCGCATCAAACTTGCAAGCGTGCGTCAACCTTGCTGGCGCCTGCTCCAGGAGCGCGGGAAATTGGAAACGGGGCCCCCAAACCTTTCTGGCCTGAGGGCCGATGCCCGCTCGAAGTACATGCGGCGGTTTCCGCGCCAACCTCTGATCAGCCCCCCTTTCGTCCTGAAATGGCAATCCGCCCCGAAAAGACTAATCAGGCGGCGGACGCCTGCCCCGCAGACTCAGCAGAACACGACCCAATCTGCGGCACCAGCGGCAAGGGTCACCCCCAAGACGACGACGACGCCGATGAGGAGGTTGGAAGAGACACGATAGCTTGCACCTCACTGCCCTGTGAACGCGGCCGACGACTCGGGAGAGACAAAGAGAGAGAGATGCCAATCATTGACGACCAGGCGGTAAAACCAGTGGCACCGTGAAGATAGCGATGACGATGGATAATGCATGTCGCGCCTCTGGCGGGGGCGCAGGGATCACTTATGCGCGCAGACGAAGCGGCGGGGGGGGGGCCCGCGAGCTGCGCGCAAACGCGCGCGCGACGGCGGCAGCGGGGACACCCCGCGCCCTACGGTCGTCGCTAAAAGCTGGCTCGAAGGACGCACTCATCAAAACCGCTGCTAGCTTTCACTTGGCTTCCTCAGGTGGCGACGGAGTCTCCTCCTCCGCTGTGGCAGGAGACTGCACGGCGGCTTTCGGCGGGCTCAGCTGGGCGGTAGCGGCTGGGGAAGGTGATGCAGCCTTGCTTTTAACCTTTGAAGGGGGCGACTCGGGCTTCGGCGTGGCTGGCTGGGCCTTCGCTGCAGGGCGTGGTGACGACTGAAGCGTTTTCACCCCGACTGGCTGTGCCTTCGCCTTGCTCGCCCGTTTCTCCAACTCCACCTGCGTGCCAGATTTCTTCACCATTGCGAGCGTCGTGGCCCCCTCCTCATCGCTCGGGCGAGGCTGCAAAACCTTCCGGAGGCCCGGAGCCAAGGAGTACAGCACGTACGTCTCCCCGCTTGACTCTGACTGAAGCGCGCACTGCTTCAGGCTGAAGGCGTTGATCAGGGAGAACGGCCCCTCGTCTCCAAGCAACTGCTGCTTGGTGATCTCGATGATCTTGTCGGAGCTCGACTTCGTGGCCCTAGCCTTGAGGGCGACGGTCACAGCGACGGATTCGTCGCCAGGAGGCTGCTGACGCCACGGCCCGCACTTGTCCCAAGAGATCGTCCCAGTCGACACGTCGATCTCCACGTGCTGGAAGCGTCGGCCGAGCCTACTGTAGACCTTCTGAAGATTATCAAAGAGCTGCTTCTTCTCGAAGCACGCGACGCGGTCCAGGTTGTCCCCGAAACACAACAAATCCATGCTGAACTAGAGGCACTCGTACTTCACCGTGATGCCCATGTTCTTCAACGTCTTCTTGTCGAAGAGGGTGGGCTCTAGAAAAAATAGCAACTCGTCCAATAACTTAGCAACCCAATGGCCATAAATATGTTGGCCTCTGCGGATGGGTCCTTCTGGGGCCACGGGAAGATCCTGCAGGCCAGAGTCGTCGTCGTCGCGCTTGCGCTTGCGCCCTTCCATGGCCGAGGTCATGATCTCGCCCACGGTCTGCAAGTTTTCGGTGGCGGCTGCCTTCAGCTCCTTGCACTCCCGAATCACAGCGACGACGACCATCTGAAGCTCAAGATCGGCAGACGTTGCATCCCAGATCTCCTGCATGTGCATGTTGAGGGCCTGCCCGTAGTTACGGAGGAGCGACTGCGAAGGCTTCTTCGCTTCAGACTCGGTCGCGGTCGTCATGGCGTCCGGGCGGTCTGCGCTGCCAGTGGGCGCCTGCATCGCGAAGACAAGGGCTGGGCGGGCGTCGCCTGCGTGCCGAGGGTGATTCTGTCGCTCGAGCTCAGGCGGCTGCACCGCGCCATAGCAATGGTGGCGCGGATAACGGTAGCAATGATGTGACCATGATGAAAAAGACTATGATCAAGACGGCGATTCGAATGTTAATTTTGATCATGGAGAGATCGGCCAGGCAACGACGTTCCAACTCGCTTGGGCCATTTGCAATCAGAGGTTGCACGGCGCGTGCTACATCTAAAAACGACCTGGCCACCGCCCGCCCCCCACGCACGCGCAAAACAAAAAAAACGCGACTCAAGAATAACGAATCGCGCCGCGAACGTTCTGCGCGCGCGCCCTGTGGGGCGACGCCGCAGTGCGACCGTTCTCTCGGGGGGCCGCCCATTAGCGCGCGAAGCGCCCACAAACGCCGGATCAATCGACGCGCCTAAAAGCTGATGCGAAACGCGGCGGCGCGATCGCCCAGCAGTTTGAAAGCAACGCGGCGCGCGTGCGAGCGGCGCAGCAAGACGGCGCGGCGCTCTGGCAGGCAGATGAACGCAATGCCGCGCGGAATCGCGCACGAACGATGGCGAGCGGCTTAATTGAGCCAGCGCCGCCGAGGCGCAGCCAAAGCCGCGCGCGCGCGTTCCGCGCCAATGCTCGCCCGCGGCGCGGTTCGCGCTGGGCGCGCCGCGCCGCCGCTCGAGCCAGACGCGCGCAACTTGCAGGCGATCTTAGAAACTATGCGCAACGATAAAAACCACGCATGCAGGGCCAACGCTGCCCCCCGCCGCGGCCGCCGCCCCCGACCGCGGCGACCCCGAGACGACAGCGGCAAAAGGCGCGACCCCTGCTGCGCCAACGCGCGGCAGGATCAGCAGCGCACCCCCGCCCAGACGCGACGCCCCCTGCGCGCGCGATCGACCAGCCCCCCTCTCAATTAATGATGCACCGCGCCGCCGCGCGACGGATCGCGCGCCGAAATGCAGGGCGACAGAGGCGCGAAATGCCCCGCCACGCACGGGCGACTCCCATGGCAACGCCATATACAGGAACGCCCCAAGGCGCGGACGCGAATCCGCCGATAGACGGCAACAAAGACTGTCCCGTCGCGCCGCCCCAAAAATCCGGCCTTGCAGGATCCTGCAGGATCCGGCGCCCTGGCTGACCCCCGTTTGCATTGACCCCCGTTTCCTTGCCCCCGAGGGCGGTTTGAAATGTGTCGCCCGGTTGCGGTTGCGGTTGCGGTTGCGCGCTCCCGCGGGCGCTTTGAAATGTGTCGCCCGGTTGCGGTTGCGGTTGCGCCCTCCCGCGGGCGGGTTGAAATGTGTCGCCCGGTTGCGGTTGCGGTTGCGGTTGCGCGCTCCCGCGGGCGCTTTGAATGTGTCGCCCGGTTGCGGTTGCGGTTGCGCGCCCGCGGGCGCTTTGAAATGTGTCGCCCGGTTGCGGTTGCGGTTGCGGTTGCGCGCTCCCGCGGGCGCTTTGAAATGTGTCGCCCGGTTGCGGTTGCGGTTGCGCGCCCGCGGGCGCTTTGAAATGTGTCGCCCGGTTGCGGTTGCGGTTGCGCGCTCCCGCGGGCGTTTTGAAATGTGTCGCCCATGCGGTTGCGGTTGCGCGCCCGCGGGCGCTTTGAAATGTGTCGCCCAGTTGCGGTTGCGGTTGCGCGCTCCCGCGGGCGCTTTGCAATGTGTCGCCCTGTTGCGGTTGCGGTTGCGCGCCCGTGGACGCTTTGAAATGTGTCGCCCGGTTGCGGTTGCGCTTGCGGTTGCGCGCCCGTGCGGCGCTTTGAAATGCGTCGCCCGGTTGCGGTTGCGGTTGCGCACTGGCGGGCGCTTTGAAATGTGTCGCCCGGTTGCGGTTGCGGTTGCGGTTGCGCGCTCCCGCGGGCGCTTTGAAATGTGTCGCCCGGTTGGGTTGCGGTTGCGCGCCCGCGGGCGCTTTGAAATGTGTCGCCCGGTTGCGGTTGCGGTTGCGGTTGCGCGCTCCCGCGGGCGCTTTGAAATGTGTCGCCGGTTGCGGTTGTTGGGTTGCGGTTGCGCGCCCGCGGGCGCTTTGAAATGTGTCGCCCGGTTGCGGTTGCGGTTGCGGTTGCGCGCTCCCGCGGGCGCTTTGAAATGTGTCGCCCGGTTGCGGTTGCGGTTGCGCGCCCGCGGGCGCTTTGAAATGTGTCGCCCGGTTGCGGTTGCGGTTGCGCGCTCGGGTTGCGCTCCCGCGGGCAGTTTGAAATGTGTCTCCCGAGCTGTCCCCTGACGTTCAGTCAGTCATCAGTCAGCCGGCGGGCACGGAATTTCACCCGGCTCCGCCGGGAAAAACCCGGCGACTCCTCCTTGAACCGTCCAAATGCTTTGCTTGCTATCGTCGCTGTGGTCATGAGGATCTCAAAAGAAATGAGTCGGCGCCACCAAATGAATGGACCGCTCGAGACATGCCTGCAATCTGACAACGGAAAGGCACATGCTCTACCCCCTGGCGGCTCCTCCTCGGTGTGATCAAATACTCTGCGTGCTTGATCGCGGTGATCACGAGGCCCTCCAAATGAGTCGCGGCCACCAAACGAGCGACCCCCCCCAGACATCCTCACAACCCGAGCGCGAACAGCTACAACACCCCTTGCCGACTGTTCTTGAGGGTGTCCAAGTGGTTTGAATGCTGTATCGCTGTGACCATGCGGTTCCGAAAGAAAAGGGTCGGGGCCACCAAACGAGCACAGCCTGGGCGCGAACTAGCAAATGTTCCACCCCCTTGGCGGTTCCTACTTGTTGTGCTCAAGCGGTTTGCTTGCTATATCGCGATGATCATGAAGCTCTCAAGGGCAGAAATCGGGGCCACCAAACGAGCGACCCGCCCGAGAAATCCCCGCCCGCAATCTGGGCGCTGACGGGCAAACTGTCCTACCCCCTGGCGGCTCCTCCTGGGTCTGAGTATGAGCGAATCTGAGCGTGGGCGAGGAGGGAGGAGGAGGAGCGGGAGCGGGGGGCGGAGGCGTCACAAGAACCCGAGTATGAGTGTGAGTAGGGAGAGTGAGGGGAAGGAAGCGGAAGTGAGAAGGCGGAGACGTCACACGGATAATAATAATAATACTAATACGAATAATAATAATAATAATAATAATAATAATAATAATAATAATATTAAAAATAATAGTAATACTAATACTAATACTAATACTAATACTAATACTAATACTAATACGAATACTAATACTAATACTAATACTAATACTAATACTAATACTAATACTAATACTAATACTAATACTAATACTAATACTAATACTTATACTAATAATAATAAAATAATAAGAATAAAACAAAATAATAGCAATAATAATAATAATAATCATATCAATAATAATAATAATAATAATAATAACCCACAAAATACTTAACGTCGCCTTGATGCGCTCAAAAGAGAAAGGCAGATGTTCCTCCTGAATTGTTTGTTGGCGGTCCTGGCTCCCCAGGGAAGCGACCCCAAAAGCTCCCTTCTCCCTCCAGGACCCCTCCCTGAGGGAACGAGACGATACTGACACCGCTACTCCCTGGACCTCTCCGCCTGGGGTGCGTTCTGACCAAGATTCCGAAGCGAATCTAGCCGTGGCGGCGAGGTACGGGTAGCGGTATCGGCGTACCTCTCTCCCCTGACTTCCTCTGACTGCCCCTCATGGTGAGCAGGAGATCCCGTGCACCGAGCAGTGCCGACGGCATGCCGGCGCCCATCGCCAAGAATCGGCAGAGGGCCAATTGAGACGCCGGCGGCCCTCCCGCCCGGCCCAGATCCGCTCAGGATCGGTCCCTGGGCCGCTGCTGGGCATAATCCTGACCTGTTCTTGCAAGGCTATCGTCGCGCTTCGCGCTGCACGAAGCGCAAACAACTTCGCGCTCTCGCGCCGCACCCTGTGGGAGAAGAGGAGGGCGAGGAGGATGAAACTGAGGAATCACGAATCGCGAGCCACGAATGCCTTCGCGCCCTCGTGGCGGCCCTTGGTTTTTCGAGGCGGGTCCAGCCGCGGCGGCGAAGAGCCTTCCACCTTCCAGGAGACCCAAACAAGACGAACAACGCCAGGGGAAAATCGCCGTTGCCCCGACAGGCCCTCCTAGCTCAGAGCCCTGGGGAGGCGGCGCTGTGAACCGGGTCAGCGCCAACCCCGGCCAGCCGGAGCCATGTCACAACGCAAACCCAGGACGGCCACGGAGCAGCTCCCCACACCGGGCCGGCAGAGGGTGGGGAGCTGCTGGTCCCAAACCTGTGTCGGCCAGAGGGGGTCGGCTGGCCCCCTGCAGTTGGCAAGCCCGAGGTGGGTAGGGCAGGAATGGGCACGATGCCGAACGGCAAACAAATGATGCCCCAGACTGCCAGTGGCCGCTCTTGGGCAGGCGACTGTGTGTCTCGTGTGGACGCACGTCCGAGGCGACACCGACTGCGGATCCGGTTCAAAATGGACAGAACTGTTGGCCGTCGTCATTCATACCGTGATGACCCCTGCTAGCCGCACCGAGGAGAAGGCCGGGAGCGGCGAGGGCGGAGGGGGCAGGGAGGGGACGGGTCCCAGGGAGGCCAGGGAGGGCGAAGGGGGGGGAGATGCAGGGAGGGGGCAGATCCACGGGTGGCCCGGAGACACCCGACAACGAGGAGCATCTTTCCGCCGCATTTTTCGAGTCGTACCGATGTGGTCCCAGGGGCCGAGACTGGGCGAAAACGCCGGGCGTGAAAAAGTTGCAGAACGCCTGGGTCTCAGGGCCGTCTTAGATCCTCGGGGGCGTGCGGGAAGGGGACGTCCAACAGGCGGGTTGGCAGATCATAGCCCGAGGTACGTGCGCGGCCCAGGAGGGGCGCAGAGACGTATTGTAAAACAAGAGGGGCCGTGCGATCTGCGGAAATACCATGGCCCTGGCCATGAAACTCTCCCCCCCCAATCATCATCCCCTCCCCCCTTGGACGCCCCCGCTTTCCTTCCGTCCCCATCTCGCCCGCACCGGATCAGCGCTGACCCCGTCACG